AAAAAAATAAAAAGCTCTTTTCTACAAAATCTTTTGGAACTGGGTCTTAAACTGTTTTGGTGTTTGCATTGTACCAGGTATTGGATTATAGCAGACTAAAGAACTTTGGTCATTTGGATTTTGTCTCTTAGTAAAGTACCTCTAAAAAATTAAATAGTATAGTTTACATGTAGACTTTTAAAAAAAATTAAATCTGAGAACCTTTGCTGATACCAGAAATAACAAAATTTATCTTTGGGGCTAAAATAATTAGATTAGAACTTTATTTCTTTTTTTTAAAAAAAACAGGAGAGATGCATGATTAAAATGTGCTGTAGTTTGTTGATTTAAAATGGTTTTGAGTGCTGAAGACTTAGAGGTAACATGCATCATGATTAAAAGTTCAGAAAATAGCAATGGCGTTAATTAGTGTCAGAAACACAAAGTGAATGCTCTTGATTTTTCTCATAAAATCACTAGTGTGAATAAAACATGGCATATGGACAGTGTTAAGCTGGCACCATACAGTGGGTATAATTTTGTCAGAAGCAGCCATAATTGTGAGTTCCAGCATAGTGTGCAGCCTGAGTAGGGATTTAATTTGTAGGAGAAACAATAATTTGTATTGATTAGCATAAATAATATTTGGTAGTTGGGTGTTGAAATGAGATTAATATTAAAATGCACTGACTGCAGCAATTAGGATACTGCTGTAGCTTATATTCAGCTATATTGTGTCTTGGCAGCTACGTATCTTCAGGTTTGGGATGGCAGACTGCAAAGGCTTGTAACAGTGTCAAGTCAACACCTTTTAAGGAATCATTAGTTTATTATGTTTAATAGATTTTTGAGCCACTTTTCTGCACTTTGCTTAATTTCAGTTTGAATGTTTTGAAAGGAAGTTACTGTAAAATTATTAAGCTCTTCATCAGAGACTACCACAACTGGCAATTAAGGTTGATTTGTTTCAGTCCAACTAAAATAATTTTTTACAGCAAGGGGAAATGTTAATCACAATTAAACATTCTCATTAATTTCAGTTGGATTTAAACAGAGTATTCATATGCATGTCTACTCAGAGGTAAGCCTCCACTGTGTCCATTGGAGTTTCCTTCCAAGAAGGTGCATAGAATTGTAGCCTAAATCACAGTGACCTCATAATTGATGTTGGGTCCTTAAATGCATAAGTTGTGTAGACTTTTGTGGAATTTCTCCAAAAGCCCTTAATTGAAGAAACCAGGTGGGGCCAAGGTTAAGGAATGCATTTTAAAGATTGCATAGTTACATGCCTTCTTTTACAGAGGGGCAGAATGAGTGAGAAAAAAATCAAATTATATTCATGTATTGAAGCCTTTAGTTGAGAGACCTTAAATAATTTAAGGCTTGCACCCATAAAATGGCAGGATAAGTTATAAGTAATAATAGCACTAATGTTCTCTTTAAAGTTAAGGGGGTGTATGTTTGCTATTCTAAATGTTTACCCGGGAATAAGTGCCTACTGCTGAGTAGGCATGTATAAGTTTGCACTGTAATCACTGTTGAAGGTACTTTCATTTGGTTTTAACTTTCCCCACTAGCTTTTAGCAGTTATTAATAATTCTAAATTTGTAGAAGAGTTGATTAAAAAACTGGCACACTTTACATAAAGTACTAGAGCTTAGGGCTGTATTAAATTTTTGATTGAAAATGACATATCTAAATGGCTTTTCAAGGAATTCATTCTCAATACAATCAGTAGACACACCAAATGAATGTGTTGAAGAGAAGATGTGAAACTGGTCTGAAATGCACTCACAAGTGTTGAATGAATGAAATACATTAGGAATAATTGTTTAAGTTTGATGTTTCATTTGCTCAGACGACATTTATGTACCATATTTGCACACTGATTGACTCAAACTGCAGACAGTATAATTTCAGCCTTAGTTTGCCTGTTTGAAAAATGGTTAAATTTCATATAAGGTGGTTTGTTACTGGCCTATTTTTATGCTACTCGGTCAAAGGTGCTATAGGAAATCTATTTATTTTGTATAGCTTCTATTGAGTGTGTTTGATTTTGGAAATGTATCTTATATGCTACACTTTTTCATTTTTGCTATGATAATTTTTTCTGGAGGCACTTGATGTGTTCCGAGTCACCCTAGTGTATTCTGTAGCTCACCTTAAAAAGCAGAAATATGAACAAAAAGTTTTTCCCTATCAGTATTATGTATTTATGGTTTGTGGTAATAGGTCTTTTGGATAAAATGTTTTCAAATGAATATCATGTTGATTTTCTTGAAACTGTAGTTGAAATAATGTAACACATACATCAATTGCATTTCAGTGGAAAATAATATATGAAATTGTAAGAACTGATTTATTGAAACAGACCAAGATCCATTCAGTCTAGCATTCTGTTACATCTCACTTGCTTTTGTCAGTTTCTGAAAGCTCATATGTTAGGTGCAAAGATATTTATTTCCTGTTGATCTCCAGCATCTGGTTATCATAGGCACACAATTTTGGATCATAGGAATTCCATCTGGCTTCCATGCTTAACAACAATTAATAAGCCTGTTTTTGTTTGTTTTTGCTGTGTAGCTGTTACTATACTTAATGATAGTGGATTCCAGTAGTCATACATTTATGTGAAAGAATCTTACCCTGAACCAACCACAAATCAAGACTTGGTCATCCTGTATCTCATGTTATGAGAAGGGGAGGGAAAACACCACATATTTCTTTATTCTTCATCAGCATCTCTTATGTTTTCCTCCTCCGTTTTGTCTCTCGTTTTTGTTTTTTTGTTTTTTGGTGGATTTTAGAGCTAAGTATTTATAGCTTCCTTTGCAGAAAAGATGTTCCAATTCATTAAACTTCCAATTCTGTAGAAGAACAGAAGCAGATACTAGAACATATCCCTCTGCCAGAACTGAAGAGGCTGTCCCATTACCTTGAGAACTATTTTATGCAGAAAATTCAAGTATGCCAGAAAATCGGAAGGTCACAGTCAAGAATGAATATATAAAAATAAATATGTTGTCAATAAAATGTTCAATATCCATTGTATTTTTTTGGTAAAAGACTGTCATATATTTGCATTATTAAATGCTAGTAACCAAATGCTTTTTTGCTACAAAAATGTCAGTGCCCATGGGCCCCATCTTCTATGTGAAAGGAATTTCTTGAATTGAATACTGCATCTCTTTAGGTGATAGGAAGTTTTATTTTAGAAAGTATTGGTTGAAATTTTTTTTTCTGAGCATATTCCATTTTGCAAGGGGGTAGATGACTAGAACATTTAAAATCATATAACCACTCTGATTCAAATATTAGTCTAACAGAAGTCAATGTCAGCATTGCGATACGGTGTACCCTTCTTAGTAAGAAGGTGACTTTTTTGCTCAATCTAGGAATTGAATATATTTTTCATTCTAGTCTTCCTTCCAGCACCATTTATTGTATACCTGCCATCTTCCATATGTTAGTTATCTTCATACCAGCACTGTTTTTTAGCATTTCATTATGAAGACTGCATACCTAAATGACAATTGCCATCTTCCATATGTTAGTTATCTTCATACCAGCACTGTTTTTTAGCATTTCATTATGAAGACTGCATACCTAAATGACAATTGAATGCTAACTGTAATGTTACCTGACTGAGTTAAATGTAGAAATTCTCTTCTGAGACTTGTAGATATGGCAAGTATCACCAGCAACAATCTCCAAATATTGGAGGAAGTTAATATATTCAGTATGTGGCCTTTTGCACACGCTTGGATAAGAAGGATGCCTCAAGTAACAGCACTTTAAAAGTGTCAAATAAGTTTACAGTTTCCATGTGTTTTGACGTGAGATTTAATGGTACAAAAACTATATAATTTTTGTGGCATTTTAAGAATTCCTGATAATATTTTCCAGTGGGACTGCATCTTTCCACTTCATGCTAGTAAAGTATTTTATTGAGCATGTGCTTTTAAATTTTAAATAATTATAGCAGCAATAAAATTAGTATTTATGCATGCATATTTAACATTGTGTTTGCTTGTACTTCTACTTTCGGTATTTAATAAATACTGATATTTGAACCTATACATAGACAACAGGAAGTTTTGAAAAATCTACTGAAAATTATTCCTGACACTGAAAAAAAAGTAAGTCTGTTTCTTCTGATGAAACCAGACATGTCACATTTTCTCTCTAGGCATTTAGATTAATGAACATATAAAATGGCTTTATATTTAACTCAGTTATTGATCCATCTGGGACAAATAGATATTGACTACGTTCCCCTTCCAGAGTCTCAAGCAGCTGTTTGCTGTTCGAGCTGTTAGAAGCTTCCTTATAGTAAGCCAGGCTATGCCATATTGGTGGGATGTGGTAGCGCTGTGGGTTAAACTGCAGAAGCCTCTGTGCTGCAAGGTCATAAGACCAGCAG